AATGTTTCTTGCTGTTTACTAGATAAAATTCCTACCTTACCAATTCCTGTAAACAAAGTTAGCTTACAGAGATGACTTCAAAAGGAAACTAAATGGGCTTTGGGCTGGTGAGATGGCTCAGTGGTCTAAAGCACTTACTTTGGAACAAGCTTGGGAAAGCACAGGGACCGCGGTTCCATCCCCCAGCACCACATTCCAGCCAGCCCGCCCCCTGGTGTGCTGAGCTGGTCACACAAAACACACACACACAATAAATAAATAAAATGTTTAAAAAAAAAAGAAAAAAGAAACTAAATGGGCTTTAACTTCTTGTAACTTCAGGCTATGCAAGGCTGCATGTAGGTACTCAGGTGCAAAATAACCAGAAACTAAAACAAAAGCCCCAGGAAATTTAGTTTGAGTAGTGGCCACACTCACCCTAAAGCGTTATTTTGTGTCAGAGAATGAATTTGTTTACTAAACTAAATGTGGTTCCAGGTTTTGAAAAAAAACCCTCTTTCCTGGGCTAGCCGCCTTGAGGTCCGAGAGCTGACCAGGGCCCTGAGCTCAGTAATAAACAGCTTTCCAAATTCCAATCTGGCTAATCTGGTTCCTATTCTGAGCAACCCGTAACAGCTACCACACCCAGCTAGTTTGGTTTCATAGTGCCCAAGTCAATGGTAGAGGGGAAAAAAGCAAAAGGAAAAACAAAACAAAGGAAAAAATCTCCAATCAATTCTTTAAAAATGCAAGAAAATAAGAAAATAAATTTGAGCATTAACTAACACAAAAATAAGATGGTTAAAGTGGAAGGAAAAAAAGATGGTTAAAATAAATGTCTGAATCAAACTGCTTACAGTGCAGTATTGTCAGGCCATCCTGGAGTGCATACCTGTAATCCTGGCTAAGCCAGAGTGTTGCAGGCAGCCGAGTTAGATAGAAATGGTATAGGCAGGGCCGGGGAGATGGCTCAGTAGGATAAGCGCTTGACTGACAAACGCAAGGATCTGAGTTCAATCCCCGG